TAAGGTCTGTTTTCCTGACCTCTGATCATGCGCGTGGCTCTCCTCTGCACCCTCTCAAGCTTCTCCACATCCTTTTTGAATTGAGGAGCCCAAAACTGGACACAGTACTCCAGCTGCGGCCTCACCAAGGCTGAGTACAACAGGGAAAGGCTGAGTACAAAGGGAAGTGCAATTGAGTATGACTGGTGCATTCATATAGTTCAGAGCTATTCCACTGGGGGCCACATCCAGCCCACAAGGGGCTCAGTTGCAGCCCCCAAGCTCTTGCATAGCTGCCTTGGTCCAGTTGAGCAGTCACCAGGGTTTCTGGGCTCCCCCTTCCTCCTCTGGCTGCCATGTTTAGTGCCCTGCCCCCTGGGCAGGGATGGTGGTGCAGGGACTAGAAGGTGAGTTGGGGGATGCATGGGCTCATGGTGCAGCAGTGAGTGGGGGAGGTGCCCACAGGGATGGGGGAGGGGTTGTGGCTTAGTGGTGTCCCATGGGGTGTGCAATCCCCAGCTGCTTGGAAGCTGGACAGCTCTGATTACAGTGCATCAGTCTTCTGTACACCCGTGCAGTGACCATTTTTGAAGTGCGTCCTACAGGAACACCCAGATTGCAGTCCATTTAAAAATTCATCGAGCACTGGGTTCTCTGCTGCAGGCTCTTCCCCCTCCAGTCTGCACCCCCCTTCCCTGCACTTCCTAACGTGCACCCTAGGGAGCCTGTTTCATAATCTAATAGAGCTTGCTCTTTTGAAGCTTTTATTGCTAGCCTGCATGCACTATGGGACTCTTAGAAATGCCAGTGGTAGATAGATTGATCCTGTTGCTCTGTTAAGTCTTTGAACCAATACCATACTCACTCTGTTCCTCCCATTGGCATCTTTGCCTCTTGAGATGATTCAGATTGTTATCCTGCCCTTAATCTCTTAATTGTATCACTAATGCCAGCCTTGTGTGGGAATGAGTACAGTCATCCCAGTAGTGTCCTCATGCTAATTCCTTCTCTCTCTCATTTTTAATAGTTTGGATTATAGTTTCATAGTTTCTAGGGTCGGAAGGGACCTGAGCAGATCATCTAGTCCGACCCCCTGCCATGGCAGGAAGAGCACTGGGGTCAAATGACCCCAGTAAGGTGGTCCTCCAACCTCCTCTTAAAAACCCCCAGGGTGGGAGCCTGCACCACCTCACTTGGAAGCTGGTTCCAGACTCTAGCCGCCCTGACCGTGAAGTAGCGCCTCCTGATGTCCAACTTAAACCTTCCCTCCGCCAGCTTGTGACCATTGTTCCTGGTCACTCCTTGCGGCGCTCGGGGGAACAGGGACTCCCCCAGCGCCTGCTGATCCCCCCTAACCAGTTTATAACAGGCCACAAGATCCCCCCTCAGCCTTCTCTTTTGAAGGCTGAACAGGTTCAGGTCCCGCAACCTTTCCTCATAGGACCTACCCTGCTGTCCCTTGATCATACGAGTGGCCCTCCTCTGGACCCTCTCGATGCTGTCCACATCCCTCTTAAAGTGCGGCGCCCAGAACTGGACGCAGTACTCCAGCTGCGGCCTGACCAGTGCCGCATAGAGGGGGAGGATCACCTCCTTGGACCTGCTCGAGATGCATCTGTGGATGCACGACAAGGTGCAGTTGGCCTTCCTAGCCGCCTCCCCACATTGCCGACTCATGTTCATCTTGGAGTCAATAATGACTCCCAGATCCTTTTCCACCTCCGTGCTGACAAGAGGGGAGTTCCCCAGCCTGTATGTGTGGTGCCGATTGTTCCTCCCCAGGTGCATCACCTTACACTTGTCCGTGTTAAACCCCATCCTGTTCTCCTCCGCCCATCCTTGTAACCTATCCAGGTCCAACTGTAGCCTGTTGCTCCCCTCTATTGTGCCCACATCCCCCCACATCTTAGTGTCATCAGCAAACTTGAACAGGGTGCTTTGCACCCCCTCGTCCAAATCACTGATGAAGATATTGAACAGTGCAGGCCCAAGGACCGAGCCCTGTGGGACCCCACTTCCCACGTCCTTCCAGGTCGAGAAGGACCCATCCACTACCACCCTCTGGGTGCGACTCTCTAACCAGTTGGCGACCCATTGGACTGTATGGGTGTCTACGCCACAGTCCCCCAGCTTCCTAATGAGAATGGGGTGAGAGACAGTGTCAAAAGCCTTCCTGAAGTCTAGGAAAACTATATCCACTGCCACCCCTGCATCCAATGATTTAGTGACCTGGTCGTAAAAGGCCACCAGGTTGGTCTGACAGGACCTGCCGCTGATGAACCCGTGCTGGTTGCCCCTGAGCATGCAGCTCCCTGCTGGCCCCTCCTGGATGTGTGCCAGAATAATTTTCTCGAATAGCTTGCCCAGGATCGAGGTAAGGCTGACTGGCCTGTAGTCCCCCGGGTCCTCTTTCCTCCCCTTTTTGAAGTTGAGGGAGATGCTGTTTCTCTGCGTTCTAAAAGTTGATACTAACTTCCTTAACCCAGCACAAACTGCTGCATTTGGGAATGTGATACTTGGTGTGTGAATAGTCTGCTGTACATGCTGTCTTAAATATTAGTTTTTTGCCTCACTGAGCTCTCACTTAGGGGGAGGCTGAATCTGTCTCCAGTTGTTAATAGTATTCCTTTACCAGGGATCTGGAATGAGATGGTCAGTTGTATGCTCTGCTTCTTTCTGGAAGAGCAGGATTGAGGATGTCAGTCAGATAGCAGAAAAGCTGGAGTAGCAGGTCCTAAAATGTGGGTTTTTTTCTGTTGCTGTGTAAAGGGCACACTCCAGTAACAAGAAACTTATGGATTTGAGAGCCCCAGCCAGGCTTTGTGCCAGGTGGCAGTTGTGCTGGGAGGTGGGGGGACTATGGGCAGTGGTAGCTAAGGCAAATGTTAGGGTGGCCATAGCCCCCCTAGCGCTGCCTCGGCAGTTTGCCGATGGGCGGGCTTTGGGCTGGGGCCTTGGCAGGCCACGCTACAGGCTGTGAGCCAGCTCCCCGGTGAAACACGGGCTGTGGTGAGCCTGGAGCATTGTTGGCTTGGACTTTGTTCTATGGCCCATCAGCCCGGCCATCCCTCTCTCTGTCCTTGTGTGTGTCTCTCTGGTTCTGGGTGTGTGTGCACGTGTGTCTGTTCTGTGTGCATTTGCGCACGTGTGGTTCTGTGCGTGTGTCTAGTTCTCTCATTCTTCTCCCCTTTTTCTTTCTCTTTCCCTCCGTCTCTTTTTTTTTTTCCTTCTCATCACAACATGCTTAACAAAAAGAAAAATACTTAACAAAGGTAGTACATGAAGCTTTATTTGTTGTTACCAAGTTTAGAATTTTTAGAAAACCTGGTATTCACTGTTTTTTGTGTGTTGGTTTTGTGTTTTGTTTTTTTTTTTTTTTTAAAAAGGGGACATTCATGATTATTAACCATTTTTAATATGCAGTGTGTCCTGGCATGTACCTCCTGCCTTGGTTTTGTTTGATGCCACTCTGGCATCTTACAAGGGAGACATTGAGGGGTTTTTGGCACTCTGGTCAAAAACATTGCCTACCCCTGCTCTACAGTGAGCTGATATAACTTTTTTTTCCTTTCTTTTACAGCCTCCACTAAAGAGCATAAAAGCTCGCCCCAAGAAGAAAGCTGTGGGTTCTGTTGCTGCTGGCGAGTCAGCCTAAGGAGACCTCCCCCACCCGTATCTGTCCCAGGATTCACCTGTTACTTTGAAGGGACACTCTCCAAAGAAGGGAGCTGAGATTCATGTACATAACAGCTACTGCTTTGTAGAGCTTATTCCAAGGCGAGGGGGTGGCTGGGATTCAGCACACGGAGCGGAGGATGCACATCCTCAGGAATTATTTACTTCTTTTCATCTCTTTTGGAGGGATTGCTGATATGTCTGTACATAGCCTGTTGCTTTGGGATTCCCTCTCTGTGTAACCCTAATTGGGGAAGCTCATTGCTGAAAGAACTAATTAGGGTTAGAGCCATCCCTAGCACAGAGGCTGGAAATAAGATATTTAAGATGCAGGCCACTGAAATTCCACTTACTGTGGGGAGCTTCCCCACTATGTCTTAGGTTGCCCTGGCTTCCCTTCTGCAGCTACAAGCTAATGTTAGGAATCCCCAGGAGCCAGAGTGGCTGGTGCTGGTACCGGTGACAATTCAAGCTCATTCTCTTAGGGAAGGGGCCTGAAGGGATATATGCTGGGTGCTTTCCAGTGTGTGTGATAACTTGTGTGGGAGAAGTGCGATTGGCTTAGAGTTTCAGCAAGTGCTGTAGAGGCACTCATGGGAGGTGAGGATGAAGTGTGTGTGGCGTTTTTCCCCAAGGAGAGTTAAGAGTAGGGAGGGAGCTGAGAAACTATTAAGTGACCAATGAGGGGGTAGAGGGGTGTGTGTGTGTGTGTGTGTGTGGTACAGTGTATACAAGACTGCTGGAAAAATCATTTCTCCAGGAAAAAAAATGTGGCATCCCTGGGGCTTGATGATCTCTACTTCAGAAGTCCCTGAATGTAATGTCTGATTCCATAGTCAGATCTGTTGCCTGTAAGAATGTCAAGAAGAGTGTGTGAGACAGCGAGAGACTTGGTGGAGGGTGGGGGTGGACAGGGAGGATGTTACTTGGCCACCCAATGGCTGAAGTCCACAGCACCTCTGATTCTACTTGTCCCAGAACTAATCTGACAAATTCTTTCATTCTAACAGATGACTGGAAAACGTGGCTCAAAACAGTCTGCAGACACTTGAGCAAATATGAGGTGGAGCAATCCAGAGGCCCTTCTGTCCCAACTCGAGAAGGCTCCAGGAGAGCCAGGCCACAGGGCAGGAGAGCTTACAAATAACTAAAGTATGAAAACATCATTATCCTGATCCCAGAACTCCATTGGGGGGGGGGGGGGGGGGGGGGGCCCGGTTTCAGGATGGATCAATCTTTTGGCGGCACCCCTTTCCGCCCCTTGAAAACACC